CACAACTTTCCATTCCAACATTTATTTTTTAGATATAATTAAAATGTTTTACTGTTGTTAATGTTTTGAATTTACACTCATTTTATCCCATTTTAAATATTCTGTGCAAAAACTCAAGCAGCAACAAATTGTGTTTTTGACACATTTATTGTGCGTGACGTGGGTTTCATATTAAAAGAAAAATATTAGACAAAAGACCGCGATCGGGACCATTTCACAGCGAAGACGACCACAAAAATGAACAAACTCTGTTCATTTTCCTACAATACGTTTGCCTTCGAGTCCATATTCCCCCATATGGAGACATGTGAGTGCCTCATTTAAGACAGAGAATTTCAAATGAATCTCATACATCACACACAGTCCACATGCAACAATGAACAGATCCATTACTCTGTCAGCAGGAGCAAAACCAGCCAGGCAGGCACACACGCTCACATCCTTTTCCACTGTGTGAAAATCACCTTATTATCACCAGCACGTAAGAAATCATATAGTGCCTTCCAGATGTTTGATATGAATCAAGCAACGTGCCACAAATTACATCTCGACATTAAACACATTAGCATTTTTTCTCTCAGGTGCTGCAAATCATCAGCATTCATGAAGTCAAGGTGCTTCCTGCGTGATGGCGTCCACCAGGTGTAAATGAAAGATGCCGTCCGCTCGACGCTGTTTGAACAGTAGGGGGAAAACAAAAGGAACAGCAGGAGAATTACAACACGTCTCAGTTAATTCTTTTCCTGAAGCTGGAACGCAGGCTCAGCTTTCTGTCAGTTTCAGGAAAATTCCAGTTCCTTACAATGTGGGTGTTATTTTCATCCATATGTTTGACAAAAAGTCCACTTACTAGCTTCCAGAACTTTCAAGCAAATAGTTGAGGATCCTTACTATCGGTTAGGAGGATTCTGTACTCACCAAGTTTATCCCTGAGGTCTGAGCTGGTGCACAAACATTCAGATTATCAGACAGCTTAGAGACAAACTAAGGGTTTAGCAAGATAATCTATGTAAATCACCTTATTTGAGTCGCAATTGAGATCAAAAAAGGCATTCGTTGTGGGTGGTTTCTGGTAAAAGTGTGACAAACAATATAAACCAGGAAGTTCAATTTAATAAACAAATCTTTCAGTTTCAAAAGATGCAGAAGTTCTGCAAAGTTGTTTATAATGCTAGAGACAGGACAATTATAGGGACAGGATTTCTCAACCCTGGAAAGACTATAATTAATCTTTACATACAGTATTTGTGATGTAATACGTGTATTTGACTTGTTAATGTGCTGCAAGATTAGCCATGGACTGTTTTGTTTTTTACCAACTTTTGAATTTTGAGCAGGAGTCAGTCTAAAACAGGCAGGTGGTAATAATCCTGAACTACACTGAAAGAACCCTTCATGTGTATTGTTAATAAAGTGAGTACATTAGATCTGAAATTATTGGAATATAATTTATAAAACTGATATGTATGTCAAAACACTTCCTTGTTTTCTCTTTTCAAAATAAGTTTGACTGTCCTGGGAGTTTGTTTGAGATCCATCTAATTGTAGTACCAGACCCAAAATGTTCCTTTTCATGTTTTTATTTCAGGGGCAGTTGTCAGAAACGTTGTGCCCACTGCTCACACTGAGAAACCAGAAGACTAGTGGCGGCAGGCCAGCGCAAGCCTGCCCGTTTGCCTCTCTGCCACTCTGAGGTGCTGCAGATTAAATGACAAAGGTCTGAGGTGTCTGGTGTCAGGCAGTGGGTGCCCTCATTCAGCCTGGTAATGTCTCACTGAGCCTCCTGTGAGAAAAACTGTGCAGCTTTTCCCCCTCACAAAAGATGCCAGTCACATTTAAGCATTCGTAAGTGTGAGTGGAAGTGTCTGTCTCTGTCAGAAAACACTTCAGGATGTTTTCCCTCCTTAGTGAGCATGCTGGAATAGTCTCTGGTGCTTTTACACCCAGGATGTGAATAATCAGGTCAAATGTGCAGAGACGAGGTAGATCGAGTGGATCGTGGATTGTTTGTGTAACCTGGGGCTTCAGATGTGGAGTAGATGGGAGTGAGAAGGTTGAAGGTGAGTCGGTACAGTGCCGAGATTAGGAAGTGTGTGTTTCATTTGCATCTGTGCGTGAAAACTCACAAGTGTATCACTGTCATTAAAGGGAAATTACAACATAAATCAGCTCTGCGTTCATGTTTGCACTTTTGGGACTTCTCTTAAATTCCAAGAATCAAAGAGAAGATTTCCGGACTTTCCTGCAGCAGCTTTCAATATCATGACATCATTGTAAAACTGTACGCCAGGTTGCTTGAGAACTCGGTGTCGGTGGGATCACTCAACCACGACCAAGTAACTGAGATGTGGCAGGAAGGTCTACGATATCTGCGTTTCTCCTCTATTAAGATTAATTCTTTAAACAACAACTGATGCTCTCTAAACTCACATAAACACACTTCTGTCAGTCACACCTCAGTCAAACCCATGCAAAATAGTTCAGTTCATTGTCAATGCA